CACAAATAGAAATCAAATAGAACTTAAAAATGCAGTTGCATCAAAGAAATTGACTATTCTATACGTAGACAGACTTTGCACCATTAACAATTGAAGTCAAGCATATAACTAAGGTTAGGCAATAACAAATGAGTATGCTCGCCGCAACTCATCACTGTCGTTTGTTCCTAATATTCCATAGAGGAGAATTTGTTATTTTGAATTCATTTAGAAACCGTTTTGATCGATGACGTGCCAAAAATATTGTGTCCTATGCCTTCAAAGGAACGCGTGCGATTGGGTTCCTATCTTTGCCGTAGAGGGTGAAGTAAGGTAATTTTGGAAAGGTTAAAATCTATAAAATTTGAAACTGTAAAAATATCAAAAAAAAATATTTAGCTTACCAAAACCTCCAGAGAGAAATAACCTACAAAGACTATCGATCATCCCTGGGAGGATTCAAACCTACGACCTTTGGATTAGAAGACCAACGGGTTATCGATTGCGTAACAGGGACTTCGGGGCTTGAATTCAACCAGTATGTAACGTGAAAACTATTTATACTTTTGCTAATAAATTATAAATGTTTAAAAGAAGTAACACCCGTTGATACACGACCATCCGTGGTGGGATTCGAACCTACGACCATTGGATTAGAAGTCCAACGCACTTTTACTGCGCTACAGGGACTTATGGATCAATTTCTGTCAGGATGTAATTTGGCAAGTATTTATAATTTTGCTAATAGAGTAAAAAGAAGAAACACGCTCGACCACGTGGGATTTAACCCTAACCTTTGGATTAGTAGTCCAAAGAAAAAACACGGGACTCGAAATTAATTTCACACGTCGGGCAAGTATTCCTAATAGGAAATGAAATAACATACCCTCATCTCTTTGGGATTCAAAACCAACGCGAAGCCCACTGCATCCACTCACGCAAGTAAGTATACTTTTTGGAAATAGAGTAGAAAATGTTTAAAAGAAGAAACATACGCTCTACCACGTGGGATTAACCCACGACCTTTGGATTATAAGTACAACGCGCTATCCATTGCGCTACAGGGACTATCGTGTAATGCAAGTATTTATAATTTTGCTAATAGAGTAGAAATGTTTAAAAAAGAAATGACCACTTTCGGTGAAATTCGAACATACCAACTCCTCTGCGCTACACGGACATCTCTAATTAATGTGAAAAGTTTTATACTTTTGGGAAATGTCAAAACCACCATCCCTGAATTCGAACCCTTGCCAACGTTTTAGCGCCAAGCCCACAGGATGTATCATGGCAAGTATTTATAATTTTGCTATTAGAGTAGAAATGTTTAATAGAAATAGCATACCCTCATCTCTGGTGGGATTCAAAACCACGATTTTTGCTTAGAAGTCCACTGCGCTTAAGGGACTTATGGATTAATTTCACTTAGGATGTAATGTGACAAGTAAGTATACTTTTGCTAATAGAGTAGAAATGTTTAAAAGAAAAAACATACGCTCTACCACGTGAGATTCGAACCCATGACCTTTGGAATAGAAATCCAAAGTGCTATCCACTGCACGAAAGGGACGTAACGTTTGACATCACTTATTAAATATTGTGACAAATATTTATACGTTTGCCAATGGAGTAGAAATGTTTAAAATTAATAACATCCGCTGATATAGGACCATTCCAGATGAAATTCGAAAGCATGACTTTTGAATGGAAGTCCAACGCGCTTCCCTCGGCGCTACAGTGATTTGTAGATTGCCTTCTCTCAGTATGTAATGTGAAAATTATTTATAATTTTGCTAATAAATTATAAACGTTTAAAATAATTAACATCTGCTGATACACGTCTATCCCTGGTGGGATTCGAACCCCAATCTTTGGATTAGAAGTCCAACGCGCTTCCAAAGGCGCTACAGGGACATATGGATTACCTTCATTCAGGATGTAATGTGACAAGTATTTATACTTCTGCCAATAGAGTAAAATGTTTAAAAGCAATAACATACCCCAATCACCGGCGGGATACGAACCCACGACCTTTGGATTAGAAGTCTACCGCGCTATTCACTGCGCTACATGGACTTGAGGTTTGCCTTCACTCTGTATTTAATGTGAAAAGTATTTATAATTCTGATAATAGAGTAAAAATGTTTAAAGAGAGTAACATACACTCAACTCTAGTGGGATTCGAAACCACGAACTTTTGCGTAGAATTCCAACGCGCTATCCACTGCGCTACACGGACATAAGGATTGGCTTCATTCAGTTACCACGTGAAAATTATTTATACTTTTGCCAATAAAGTAGAAATGTTTAAAAAGAGCAACATCCGCGGATACACGATCATCCCTGGTGGTATTCGAACCCACGACCTTTGGATTAGAAATCCAAAGTGCTATACACTGCACGACAGGGACGCAGCGTTTAACATCACTTATTAAATATTGTGACAAATATTTATACGTTTGCCAATGGAGTAGAAATGTTTAAAAGTAATAACATCCGCTGATACCGGAACATTCCAGATGAGAACCGAAAGCACGACTTTTGAATGGAAGTCCAACGCGCTTCCAACGGCGCTACAGGGATTTGTGGATTGCCTTCACTCAGTATGTAATGTGAAAAGTATTTATACTTTTCCCAATGAAGTAGAAACGTTTAAAGGAATCATCATCCTCTGATACACGACCATCCCTGGTGAAATTCGAACCCACGACCTTTGGATTAGAAGTCCAACGCGCTATCCACTGCGCTACAGGGACTTGAGGATTAACTTCACTCAGGATGTAATGTGGCAAGTATTTATAATTTTGCTAATAGAGTAAAAATGTTTAAAAGAAATAACAAACCTTAATCTGTAGTGGTATTCGAAACCACGACCTTTTGCGTAGAAGTCCAACGCGCTATCCACTGCGCTACACGGACATAAGGATTGGCTTCATTCAGTTACCACGTGAAAATTATTTATACTTTTGCCAATAAAGTAGAAATGTTTAAAAGATGTAACATCCGCGGATACACGACCATCCCTGGTGGGATTCGAACCCACGACCCTTGTATTAGAAGGCTAACGCGCTATCCACTGCGCTACAGGGACGTATGGATTAATTTCAGTCAGGATGTAATTTGACAAGTATTTATAATTTTGCTAATAGAGTAGAAATGTTTAAAAGAAATAACATACCTTCATCTCTGGTGGGAGATCTTTTGCTTAGAAGTCCACTGCGCTACGCGGATTTATGGATTAGCTTCACTTAGGGTGTAATGCGAGAAGTAAGTATACTTTTGCTAATATAGTAGAAATGTTTAAAAGAAAAAACATACGCTCTACCACGTGGGATAAGAACCCACGACCTTTGGATTAGAAGTCCAACGCGCTATCCACTGAGCTACAGAGACATACGGTTTGCCTTCTCTCTGCATGTAACGTGAAAATTATTTATACTTTTCCAATAAAGTAGAAATTTTTAAAAGAAATAACATACGCCCGTCTCTGGTGAAATTCGAACCCACGACCTTTGGATTAGAAGTCCAACGCGCTATCCACTGCGCTACAGAGTCATAGGGTTTGCCTTCACTCTGCATGTAACGTGAAAATTTTTTATACTTTTGCCAATAAAGTTGAAATTTTTAAAAGAAATAACATACGCCAGTCCCTGGTGAAATTCGAACCCACGACCTTTAGATTAGAAGTC